ATTTTATATTTTTACATTGTGTATATATATATATATATATATATATATATATACATATATACACATTAAGTCAACACATTTTATTTTCTATAACATTTGTAAACAAAAAAATCATGTTATAACTTTTTATATTTATATTTTTTAATTTATATTAATTCTATTTTATAATTATTAATATAATTTATAATTTTAGTTATTTTATAGTTTTACATTTTTTATTCATATTTACATTTTTGTCATCAATAAATATGACATGTGTGTATATATAGTAAATTTATATATAATACATATGAAATATGTAGTATATTTTAATTTCATTATTTATGTTTAAACAAATTACTATTTATTTATTTATTTATTTAAATAAATATACATTTTTATGTCATGACTTTCTCTCTTCAGGGAGGTTGTGCGACATTCCTCTGCCAGCCGCTGGATGTAATGAAGACGAGATTGATGAACTCTAAAGGAGAATACAGAGTGAGTTTCCTCTCACTCACTCACTCACTCACTCACTCACACACACGCACACACGCACGCACACACGCACACACGCACGCACACACACGCGCACACACACACGCGCACACACACACACACACACACACGCACACACACACACAGAGGCACACACACACATCATTGTCTCATCGTCATGTTTGTATGTTAGGGTGTGATTCACTGCCTGACTGAAACTGCCAGACTGGGACCACTAGCCTTCTACAAGGTACCAAGGTTTACTTTGCTTCATTTTTTCATATAATGCTGTGATCTGTTTCACTACTAATATTTTTTTTTGACAATGTTTCTGACATCCAATCACACGGCAGGGTTTAGTTCCGGCCGGTATCCGCTTGATTCCTCACACGGTCCTGACGTTCGTCTTCCTGGAGCAGCTGAAGAAATACTTCGGCATCCGGGTGGTCAGCTGAACTTTGACATCTTGACCTTTTCCCTTTGGCCTCCTCTCGAAGCTGCACTCACTTCCACAATATTATTTCTGGAAAGTCTCACACTACACACAATGCTGCCCGGCCAACATAACGAAAGATGATCCTCACTATCCGAGTGCCAAACCCGTCACGACGCTCTTCTCTTCAGGGTGAGCTTTAGATTATAGATGTTCTAGTTGATGTTCTAGTTTATGAATTCATGTTTCTGATTATTATTTCTCAAGCTGTTCTTAAATCCTTCTTTTGCAACGAGACGTTTTAAAGGAATAGTTCACTCGTTATCTCATCATTTACTCACCCGCACGTTGTTCTAAACCTGTACAATGTTCTTTATGCTGAACATGTGTTTTTGTTTTCCTCGGAATAGTGTTCGATTAAATAGTTTTGTTAGGGTGAGTAAATTCTATCAGATTGTTTTTGCCGTGTGAACTCTTTCTTTAAGACATAAGACGCACACAAACAAAGCGGTTCATATTGCTTTAAGTGTGGTTACGTTCAGTCTGTATGTATTGTGTTCAACTGTTTTAATGGCACAGATACTGTATCATCAACTATTTTCTGGATTTTATCTTATGAGGGGACGGAATAAAACCAAGTTATACGTTCATATCCAAAATGTGGCACATCAGAGAAGAGAAGAAAACATTAAACAACAGAGCGATGGGGATCTGCAATGTGAAAGACGAGTCAAACTTCTGTACTTGGTGCTATGCTTTCATTTTTCATGATGTTTCTGTTCTTTTTGTAATATTTCTGCTGGGAAACTCACGGACCCTGCCTCATCTGTGACTGAAATAACGTTAGATCTACTGTAAGTTCTGCAAATGTGCTTGTAGTTGTTTTAGGGTTGAGGTAATAGGGGCATTTAGTGAATAAGTTGCACAAATGACTTGTAGTAATTCAGTTTTGTGGTTTGGTCCTGAATATCTGGATTTATCCTGAACTAAAGCATATATAATAACACAAAATGTATCACAAATTTAGTTTAAACTTAATATTTTAGATTAAGCTGGTAAATTACCATATTGGTATATGCTTAAAAACTGGCTATTTTTTGTTGATGATTTCACACGGAGAATGAAATTGAACACTGCAGAAGCCGTGTCTGTCGGTGTTCAGCAGAGGGCGCTGTCAGGCACTGAATGTGGCCCTTGTGTGCATCGAGCGCTTGCAGATGTGGGTACGAACAGTTTTTTATTCTACAAATTTATTTGTAATTTAGGGTTTGAAAATGGAATTTAGGGTTATTGTAATTTAGGGTTTGTGAAAATCAAATGCTTGAACTGAATGGAACTGAGCTGCTCTCTGTCTCGAGAAAACTGCAAATATTAAACTAAGTGCGATGTAAAACTGGACTAAACTGCAATGTTGTCTCCTCAGAACGATATTTTGTCTGAAATGAAAATATGTGGAAATAAAAGTACTAACACAAGAAAATCAGGGGTTTTTTTTATTTATTTTTTTGTGTTCAGCTCGTTAACAAAACAAACATTCACTGATTAACATGTCTTCAATGTATAGGCTACAATATTGGCGTCATATTATTGTCCCCCCCTCCCAATTTGAACAATGTGGAACAAATAGTGCAACATTTCTGGAGAGAACGCAAAAGCATAATGCAATTTTTACTTTAGGTGTTCCGAAGTAAACAAGAAACTTGCGCACGTTCAAGTATGCTACACCCAGTGGACATTTAGCGACTTTTTGAGCAGGTTTGAGCTGTTTTCAATTGAAAATAGCTGACAATAACAGGTCTGAAGCGGCTGTCGCGTTTCTGCTGAATCCTCAGTGAACTGATGTTGACTGCATCATTGACAAGCTATGCTCCTGTTTGACACTACGCTGCTTTGACACAATCAGTGCTGTATAAAGTGCTATACAAATAAAGTGACTTGACTTGTCCTGCTGCTGGACAGTAAAACGGAAGTTCAAGGATATTTCCCTCCTTCCGCCTTTATACCAACCAGCTTTCAGTTTCACTTTGGTGGTTGCCATTGACTTCCATAGTAGGAAAAAAATACTATGGCAGTCAATGGCAACCACCAACTGTTTGATTACCAGCAATCTTCAAAATATCTTCTTTTGTGTTCAACATAAGAAAGCAACTCATACCGGTTTGGAACGACACGAGGGTGAGTAAATGATGATAGAATTTTCATTTTTGGGTGAACTATCTATTTAAATGATATTTAATTGTTTACGTATGCAATGCTACAAATCAGTAAATGAATGTTTTGTGTATTATTTAAGGAACATGTCATTTTGCATATTGTGCTGTTGATTAAGACTAAATAGCAGACCAGGAAACACCATTGTAAACATGCAGATCCATGTCTTATGAACCTTACTTAGCAAAATAAACTTTTTTTTTTAATGTGTAAAGAAGTGGCAAGTTTTTATGTTTTAATGAACAAAATGTCTCTAATAATAGAGAGACAGAGAAATCCACTCACACTCAAGATGCAGCGGGGAAGCATGTCTCATCCTCCTGAAGTAATTCATGCTAACATCCATTTGTCCATCCACCCATCTGTAATGTCCATCTCTCTTTCTGTCTTATTTATAGTTTCAGACCTGAATATCATGCTGCTGGGTCTGACTGGAGCAGGAAAGAGTGCATCAGGAAACACCATCATAGGTGGAGACAGAAAAACATTCAAAGAACGTGGTCATTCTACGTCTGAGACCAAAATTTTCACAGCAGCACATGCAGTGGTGAACGGACGAGCAATCACTGTGATCGACACCGTAGGACTCAGCTGTGAAGATTACAGATGGTCAGACACAAATAGAGCGCATACTACACAATACACAACTCGATGTGATTCTGCTGGTGATCAGACTGGGTGAGACGTTCACAAAGGAGAAACGTGAAGCTGTGAAATGGATCCAGGAGAATTTTGGAACAAAGGTCTTAAAACACACAATAGTGCTCTTTACTAATGCAGATCAGTTACAGGAGCCGGTAGAAAATCATTTGGGAGAATGTCAAACACTGCGATCACTCGTTGATCAGTGTTCAGGAGGATTTCATGTTTTTAACAACAAAGACGAAGGAGATAAACTGAGCAGGACTATAAGGAGACTCAGAAAGATCTCCGGCTCAAAAAATGTGACATCTTCACTACAGCAATAGCAGCAGCAGTATTCGCTGGAGCAGCGTTAAGAGCAGGACTATTAGGAGGAGCAGGAGTGGGAGGAGCAGATTTAGGAGGAGGAGCAGGAGTGGGAGGAGCAGATTTAGGAGGAGGAGCAGGAGTGGGAGGAGCAGATTTAGGAGGAGGAGCAGGAGTGGGAGGAGCAGATTTAGGAGGAGG